TGTAATTTCAGCAGTTTGGGAGGTCGAGGTGGGTGCATCGCCTGAGCTCAGGAATTGAAGAACCTGGCCAACATGATAAAACCCCATCTGTACAGAAATATAAAAATTATCTCAACTTGGTGGCATGCACCTGTAGTGCCTGCTACTTGGTAGGCTGAGGCAGGAAAATCGCTGGAACCTGGGAGGCAGAGGTTGCAATTAGCCAATATTGCATCATTGCACTCTAGCCTGGGCAGCAGGGCAAAACCCCATATCAAAGAAAGAAAAGAGGAGAGGGCGAGGGCCTGACTCTCTCCTGCCTGACTTATCATTGGGCCACCAGCACAGGGTCCCTGGGAACCTTATCACAATCACCAAGGCATCTGTGAGTTATTTGAGAATGTCCAGAGCAGAATTTTACTAGGCTGACAAGAGTGGTTAATTCTACTTCTGACTCAGTCTAAGAGAAATGACTCATTCTTTGTTTGTTTTTTGCCTCATACAAGAGATGTTTTTGGTTGGTGCTCAAATGAGAGTTTCTCCAGTTTCCTTGTACTTGAGTTAAAAGCAATGAGGATATCAGGAGACTCAGACACATAAACCAATTGCTTTTATTTCATACAGTGATTAGAAAAATAGATAAAGCAGACACGGTCCCTACAATCCAGAAACTTAGTCTATAGTAGCAACTGGATAAAAGGTTGAATTATGCATTATGTGGTGAGTACAATAAATAGATGTGTACAAAAACAGTTGAGCTTTATTTGGACCACTTTCTTTGTACTTTTAATTTTTTTCGAGAGGGAGTTTTTTTCTTGTGGTTCAGGCTGGAATGCAATGGCACGATCTCGACTTACTGCAACCTCTGCCCTCCTCCCCCTGTGAGTTCAAGTGATTCTTTAGCCCCAGCCTCCTGAGTAGCTGGAATTAGAGGCATGTGCAACCATCCCTGGCTAATCTTGTATTTTTATGTTAGCAGAGACGTGGTTTCTTTATGGTCAGGCTTATCTCAAACTCCCAACCTCAGGTAATCTGGCTGCCTCAGCCTCCCAAAGTTCTGGTATTACAGATGTGAGCCAGAGCACCTTACCCTCACTTTCTTTATGTTGTTGTGACTTGTGTTGTTTTCACCTAAAGGAATATTTATCAACTGAAGAGTTGTTATTATTTGTTTTCTTTTATTTTTTTCTTTTCTGGGGTGTTTGAAGATGGAGTCTCGCCTTGTTGCCCAGGCTAGAGTGTAGTGGCTTGATCTCAGCTCACTGTAACCTTCACTTTCTGAGTTCACACGATTCTCCTGCCTCAGGCATAGGCCACAACATCTGGCTAATTTTTGTATTTTAGTAGAGACCAGTTTTCTCCATTTTGGCCAGGCTGGTGTGCAACACCTGCCTTGACCTCCCAAAGTACTGGGATTACAAGCATGAGACACCACACTCAGTCTATTATTTGTATTTCTTTAACTTAAGAATATGTATTTATCTTCTAATAAAATTATCCTATGAAACCTAAAGTGATATGTTTTAATTGCTTATTGATATATAATATGAAATTGATGGAAAAGTGGTTAAAAAAGATTAAAATTTCACCATCTCTAAAATTTAGGATTCTCCTAGGTAAGCTTAAAAAAAATAGAACTAGAAAACACCCAGTGGCATAGAGAACCAGATTGTACATAGGGTCCACTTTCTGCCCCAGCCCTTTTTAGAGGTCTTATTTAGATCTGGCCCTACCTTTGATTCTCACCTCATAGAACTGAATAGAAGAGATCAGAGTTTTTAATGATAAATCTTGTTCTACTTTTAGAGCTCATGCTCACAATATTCTGAAAAAAAGAAAAAAAACCCCAGATAAATCAGAAATATAAAGTATGTATTTTAGGGTCTTAATTTCAAATTTTTAACTTTAAAATTAGTGTTTGCACAGACATTCTATTTAGCAACCTCTTTTCTGTTCCTGCAGATCTTGTAGTTTCTCCACAAGGCACAAAAAGTAAATATAAACACCATATAAATTTTTGTAAATTGCATTAAACTCTTTATTTCTGTATGACTTCCATTTGTCTGTATTTATATTTTATTTTATACATTTTAAATAAAATGGATGACAGAGAAATTGGAAGGAATATAAATTCTGTTTTTTTTTTTAAATATTTGGAATTATTTAGCCCTTAGGATCAGTGCATAGGCTGTTATTAGAACTAAGTTTCATAATGTGTTATTACAGTGCTCTGTAAAATCTTCTTGAGCACATAGTATCTGCTTAATATACATTTTATTAGTACATGTATCTATGTTGTTTTCTAAATACAGATTTAAGGCCCAGCAGTAATCCCAGTGCTTTGGGATGCTGAGGTGGGCTGAACATTTGAGGTCAAGAGTTCGAGACCACCGTGGCCAACATGGTGAAACCGTATATCTACTAAAAATACAAAGAAACAAAATAGCCAGTCATGGTGGCACAAATCTGTAGTCCCAGCTACTTGGGAGGCTGAGGCAGAAGAATCACTTGAACCTTGAAAGCAGAAGTTGAAATAAGCGTAGATCTTGCCCCCTGCACTCCATCCTGGGTAACAAAGCAAGATTTTATCTCAAGAAATAAATAAATAAATACATGTAGATAAATACAGTCAGACGTTGCCCCTTTCTGTTTTCCCTGTCAACTTCAAAAAGCCAGCAAAGATTATGATACTTTATGATAAAGATTGGTTGTCTTCGTTTGTGCCGCAAGTATTTATGTTGTGATGAGAGTACAAAGCATAAGAGACTTTGTGCTGTGCCTTCTTTTTAACTAATGTTAATAATGAGCCTTGGGGAGCAAGTCAGCATTGGCAGGGGGCTTATTGAAAACACTCATTTATTGGCTCTTTCCAAACCTGTAGAATCACATTACATAGAGTGGGACCAAAATTACCGAGTAATTGTAAGCTCATTACAGCTTGAGAGATAATGGGTAGTTAAGTGGTTCTAAGTTTAGGTTGCTAATTAGGATCAAATGACTAGTTTTCAAAAATCTCTTTACTTGTGCCCTTCCTTTCATAGGTTTTGATTAATGTTCTGGGTGGAAGTATTCATGTTCTTTTAATTAAATGTCTCATGTGACTGTAAGTTGTGGCCAGAATCAAATATAGGGGGTTCAAGATACATTTGTGAGCGTTAAGTTTCACCTGTTTACTAAAAGGTGGTCCTAAAGCCTGTTTTCTTTGGGTTTCGTAGGGACAAGGCACTGTGGCTCATGTTTTCTTTAGTGTAGAAGAAATTGGCAGAAGAAGGCAACCGAGAACAGGAAAGGAGAAACATATTTTTTACCTATGCAGCAGCTTATTTTTCCTGACCCTTTTCTGTTACAAAGTATAGAAATGGCTGGAGTTATTTGATCTTTGTTCTTCTGCCTATGGGTGTGGTGGCAGCAGGTAAACATGGTGCTGACACCATTCAAAGCATATTCTCAAGATGCATCTGTAATTTGTCCAGAGAATCTTATCTGAGAAGAAGAAATCCTAGAGAAGAAGGAGAACTAGAAAATAATGGCAATTTTAATAATGAATTTTTTTTAGATGGAGTTTCGCTCTAGCTGCCCAGACTGTAGTGCAACGGTGTGATCTCAGCTCATGGCTAACTCTGCCTCTTGGGTTCAAGCGATTCTGCTGTCTCAGCCTCCCAAGCAGTTGAGATTACAGGCTACCACATCTGGCTAGTTTTTACAGTTTTACTGGAGACGGGGTTTCTCCATGTTGGTCAGGCTGGTCTCAAACTCCTGACCTTAGGTGATCCACTCACCTCAGCCTCCAAAAGTGCTAGCATTACAGGCGTGAGCCTCCACATTTGGCCTGATGTCTTTCTGTCCATAAAAATGGAATGTTTTTCCATTTGATTGTGTCCTCTCTTAGTTGAGCAGTGGTTTGTAGATCTCCTTGAAGAGATCCTTCCCATTCCTGGTTAGCTGTATTTCTAGGTATTTTATTCTTTTTGTAGCAGTTGTGACTTTCATGTATGATTTGGCTCTCTGTTAATTTTTGGGTTATAGGAATGCTTGTGATTTTTTTATTTTTAGTGGAGATGGGGTTTTACCATGTTGGCCAAGATGGTCTTGATGTTTTGATATGATTTTCTTGCCTCAGCCTCCAAAAGTGTTAGGCTTATAGGCATGAGCCACCACGCCTGGTGAATCCATTGTTTCTTTATGATTAAATTCACACTATAAGTTACTTTTGAGGGGGAAGTGATACTGTGTCCTTCTGTGTACCTCAGCACATCATAGAACTGTGTCTTCATTCAGTTAATGTTAATAACCCACTTAGTTAATAAGCTTTGTGACAGAATTTTTTTCTCTATAGAGTTAATTATTTTTCTCTTCATTATTTCATATCTTTTTGCAGCTGATGTGGATAAACAATCACTTTTAATCTGGTAGCTGCCCTTATGTTTTCTTTGCATTTATCTGTCTATGGAAAATGAAAGCTCTCATCTTTGTTTACAGGCTAGAAAAACTAAAAAACACAGGCTCATTCACTTACTGTATGTTTGACAAAATAGTTTTCTTTGGCCAAAAACATTGGCATTAGTGGTGAGCTCGTTAGAGATTCAGAAACTCAGATTGTTTTCCAGATTCTCTGAAAAAAATTATCTGCATTAATATCTCCAGTTTATTGCACACATTAAAATTTCAGCAGTACTTTCTAACTCAGTATGTTGTTTCCATCTGAAAAATTTACACAGTGCATTCTGTATGATATAAATATAGTACTCAGAAATGTACATGTTAGTGTTTATGCCCTCAGTTTTCTACCTCATTAACAAGAAAAATACCATCTATAAGTTGATGTTGTAGACCTTATGCTATTCTCACAATTAGAGAATAAGTTGGAGAATATTTCTGTGTTGAAAGTTATTTGTTAGATATTGTCAATGACTCTTGTAAGTAAGAAGCAGATATCTTTATTTTCATTTCACCTTGAGTCAGATTAAAAATTCTGGTCATTTTCCATTTGTTTAATATGTATGTGTGTGTGTATTTTTCAGGGAGTGTTGACATTTAGGGATGTGGCCATAGAATTCTCTCGGAAGGAGTGGCAATGCCTGGACACTGCACAGAGGAATTTATATAGACATGTGATGTTAGAGAATTACGGAAACCTGGTCTTCCTGGGTGAGCATAACTTCAATAAATACACAATTTAATAATATATCCTATAAGTTTGGTCTTTCTTTCTTTCTTTTTTCTTTCTTTCTCTTTCTTTGTAGAATAATTTTTGGTAATTTTTGCTTTCAAATCTGCTAAAAAACAAAAAAAAAAAAACTGCAAGATTTGTCTAATAAAAAAGAATTTTGAGATACTTAATTTTGACCTGAACTTTCCACATTCCTGAACTGATCTGTGTTCTTCACTCTAAATTAGTGTCAAGTTTTGAAATGTAGTGGCGTAACATTCTGTTTATTACATCTTAAAATCTGATTGCTACTACTCTTTGATTTAGTAGTACCAGGTAGTGAAATTACAAACTTACAAAATTAAAATATGTTTTAAAATATTTTGTTATAAATTAGTAGTTTAGAATTATTTTACTAAAATATTTTATTACATGCTTTTTACTGAGCACACTACTAAGTTGGTAATTGGAGAATATGAACAAGATTCATGTAATTTTTAATAAAACAGGTATTGCTGCCTCTAAGCCAGACCTGATCACCTGTCTGGAGCAAGGACAAGAACCTTGGAATGTGAAGAGACATGAGTTTGAAGCCAAACTCCCAGGTAGGTGAAAGTGAAAGTGAGTACAACAGACAACTCATGGAAACATCTTCTGTCTTATCTTATAATTTAAAATCTCTAAAGATTTTCCTTTATTTCAGTGATCTTTCTTTACTTTTAAAGTGACAACCAAAGTCCTCTTCATGGCACATAAGAGACTTCAAAATCCGATCGCTCTTTCATTGTTTTTGAAAATCAGATATGTGCATAATTTGGAGAAATTTTTATGTTAAACTTTTTAAACCTCTCTTTTTACAACATGTCTAAAATGTGTGAGAGTAGTGGTTTCTCTTCTAATATTTTTATTATTACTTTTTTGAGATGGAGTTTTGCTCTTGTCACCCAGGCCGGAGTGGAATGGTATGATCTCAGCTAACCACAACCTCCACCTTCTGGGTTCAAGCGATTCTGCTGCCACAGGCTCCCAGATAGCTGGGATTACAGGTGCCCACCACCATGCCAGGCTAACTTTTATACTTTTAGTAGAGACAGGGTTTTTCATGTTGGTCAGGTTAGTCTCAGATTCTCAGTGTCAGGTGATTCGCCCCACCTCGGCATCCCAAATTGCTGGGATTACAGGCGTGAGCTACTGAGCCCAGACTCCATTATTTTTGTATTGCTAATATTTCTGCCTTTTTCTTTTATAGCCTTGAAGTACAGTTTGAAATTATAAATTATGATGTTCTGATTTGTTGATTTTCAAGATTGCTTTGACAATTCAACATTTATTCTAGCTCTAAGTGAATTTCAGAATTACATTTTCTAATACTGTAGAAAATATTAAAATTTTGATAGAGTTTATTAAATCTAAAAATCACTGTAGATAATATGGCACTTTAACAATAGTCTTTCAACCAATAGACATGTAATGTTTTTATATTTATTTTTGTTATTTAATTTTTTTTAATTGATGTATCTTATTTGAAAGATAATTAAACTCCTTGGTTATATTTGTTCTTCAAAATGTATTATTTTAGTGCTATTATAAATAAGATTGCTTCCTTTCTCTTATCAGAGTGTTTGTTTAAAACGTATGTAGCCATAATTTATACTTGTATGTTAATCTCTGTTTTCCTAATTGATTGAGTGTAATTATCACTTTAATTAAGTTTTAATGTAATGTTTATTTTTATATAAGATCAAATGATCTGCAAAAAGCAACTTTTTAATTATTTGTCTTTAATTTCAATAACCTAGAATATTTTCTGACTAATTTTTATTGCACACACTTCCAATGCTATGTTCAGATAGTAGCATTGAGAATAGGCACAATATACTTTTGCATTGGTGTCTGTGAATTTGAAGGAGCAAAAACCTCTTCAACTTTCTATAAACTGGTTTCAGAAGGTAAAGACCTTTTGTTGAGCCCCAGGGTGATGGGATGCCCTATGGCGTTGTAGTCGAGAGGTTTTAGCGTGGTTACAAAGGCTGCTGGGTCTGCATTAGGGTCCATCTTTAGTTGGCTTGTTATAAGGGGACTGGGTAGTTCTAATTCCATATGATTTTTGGGCAGACTGAATATTCTTCAGGACTTTGCTCTGTTTGGCACACTGTAGGTCAGGTTTCTGCACTTGGGTCTTCATATTGATGGCTTTATATTAAGATGCAGATGAGTTTGGCTTTCACTGAGTACCAGAGAGGATTTCCCAAGGTCACTGTGGGTTTCCACATAGGCAGAACTTGCTCTGACAATATTCTGCAAAATCTATATATATTTTCTTCCTTTAGCAATGTAAGGGTATTCTTTGCTTCTAAAGTTAGATTACAGATGTTTTATTTTGTGTAAGAATAGCATATGTTTAAAACTTAAAAATTATCTCACTTAAATGCTTATTTATCAACAGTTTGGCATTCGAATCTTCTGTTTAGGATTACACTGCATTTTACATGAAACTTTACTGCATTTCAGTGAATTCCAATGATTCAAAATAATTCATCTTCAATGAGTTCATAGTTACAGTAAACTACTGTTGTTATCCACACAAATTCTTTCTTAATGCTTCATCACTGCTGCATACCAGAGTTTATGAGTGAACATTTATTATTTTGCAGTTTCATATTAGCGTGTTTTCTCAGTGTAGGTTTTTTAACATACTTTGTTGTGTTATTTGGTTTTACAATTTTAGACAATTTGCAATTCTGTGTATACCCATACGTAGTTGTGCAGTTTAATTAAGAGATAAATCAACCATATGTCTATTATAATCTGATTATATATGTGTATATGGCTAATCTTGTATTTATATTTTCTTAGCTGATTTTTAATAATAAAGAATCTTGTCTAAATGAACAAAATTTACCATCTTAAATCTGTTTAAATGTACCTTTCTTGGATAGTGATGGTAGTGGTTTCCATCTAATTTCCCAATTTTGGGAGGCCACAGCAGGAAGACTGTGTGAGTTCAAAAGCTTGAGAACAGCCTGAGAGGCATATGGAGACCTCATCTCTATAAAACATTTTAAAAGTTAGCCAGACATAGTAGTATGGTTTTATCTCCTTGGGAAATTAAGGAGGGAGGATTATTTGAACCTGAAAGTATGAGGCTGCAATGAGCCATAACTGTGTCATGCGCTCCAACTTGGGTGATAGAGTAAGACCCTGATTCAAAAACAGTGTCCATTACAGGCATGGTAAGTATATTTACTTTGTTTTATGAAAGATTTCTGGATATTTTGCCATATGCATTAAACAACTACCAGTTTTTCCCATTTCTTGGCACTTTTCAAAAACCATTCTGTTTTCTCTTTCTAAGAGTAGCTGCTTTGTATATCTCATAACATCTTTGTTTGTGGCTGGCTCATTTTATTTTGCATAATGTCATCAAGATTTACCTTTATAGTTAGAATACTTTCTGATGTTTGCAAACTGAGTATTTTTATATTTTCAATTATATCTACTGAACTATTTGGTGACAGAAATTTGCATTGCTTTTACCTATTGGTAAAAATGGTAGGATAATTATGGGTATGCAAATGACTCTATATTACTATATATGTGAGAGTTTTTATATGTGTGCTGCATCCTGTTGCATTTATGAATATTATTATTATTATTTTTTGAGATGCAGTGTCACTCTGTCACCCAGGCAGGAGTGCAGTGGAGGGCTTTCAGTTCACCGCAATCTCCACCTCCTGGGTTTGTCAAGCAATTCTCCTGCCTCAACCTCCTGAGTAGCTGGGATTACAAGTACCTGCCACCATGCCTGGCTAATTTGTGTATTTTTAGTATGTTTGTCAGACTCGTCTTGAGCTGCTGACCTCATGATCTACCCTCCTTAGCTTCCCAAAGTGCTGGGATTACAGGCGTGAGCCACCATGCCCGGCCCATTCTATTTTATTAGTCTACTTTTTTACCTTTATACTCATATCAAATTGTTTTAATTCTATGGCTTTCTAATGTGTTTGGAAATGAGGAACTGTACTGCCCTCAGCATTGTTTGGTTTTGTTTTTAATATTTTTGGGTACTTTATTTTCTGTAGAGATTCTATATACTCAGGATTGCTGTTTGTATTTCTTACAAAATGCAATGAGAAATTGAAAAACTTTGTATTAAATCTGTTCTTTACAGCTGGGCGTGGTGGCTCACACATGTAATCCGAGCACTTTGGGAGACTGAGTCAGGCAGATTACAGAGTCAGGGGTTCAAGACAAGCCTGACAAACATGGTGAAACCCCATCTACATAAAAATACAAAAATTAGCCTGGTGTGATGGTGCACACCTGTAATCCAGCCACTTGAGAGGCTGAGGCAGGAGAATTGCTTAAACCCAGAAGGTGGGGGTTGTGGTGAGCTTGAGATACCACTATTGCACTCTAGGCTGGGTGACAGAGTGAGACTCCAACTAAAAAAAAAAAATCTTTAGATTGCACTGACAAAGATGAACATCATTATAATATGACTTAGGATTACACTATAGCTAGTATTACAGGCACTTACCACCATGCCCGATCAATTTTTGTGTTATTAGTAGAGACTGGGGTTTCACCATGTTGGCGAGTTGAGTCTTGAACTCCTGATCTCAGGTGATTAGTTTACCTCTGCCTCCCAACCTGCTGGGATTACAGGCATGAGCCACTGCACCTGACCTAATTTGTAAGGTTTTTTTGTTTGTTATTTAGATAAAGTCTCATTCTGTCACCCAGGCTGGAGTGCAATGTTGTGACCTCAACTTGAGGCATCCTCCACTTCACATGTTGAAACAATTCTCTTGCCTCAGCTTCCTGAATAGCTGGGATTACAGGTGCATGCCACCATGCCCAGCTAATTTTTTCTGTATTTTTAGTAGAGACAGGGTTCAGGCTGGACCTCGTGATCCACCAGCCTCAGCCTCCTGAAGTGCTGGGATTACAGGCATGACCTGGCTATAAATTTGTAAGTTTTAATGTCCTTTTTTTGTCTCCATGGAATTTTGACTTAAAGTACATTTTTAAAATGTAATAATTTTTGACTTTATATGTATACTATTGTGTATTATTTTGCATAATATTATTTTGATTTTCTCTGCTGTCAGTGATTCATATTTGCATTAAATGTCTACTTTCATCTTGCCCCTTTCAGTGTTTTTTTTTTTTAATCGGTTGATATCAGTTATCTTTTGTGGAAAAAAAAGGGATCTTGGTTTTTAAACTTTTAATACAATTATGTATTGAAAGTATGTCTCTTAATTTGAAAGTTAATTATGTGTATGTATTTAAATAATTTTATGAAAGTGAAAGACAATGTTATGTTTTTATTTTATTAGATTCTGACATCTTTGTTTCTTCTTTACACTCTTGTGTCTATTGATATGATTTTACTTCTAATTTTTTTTTTTTGGTATTTGTACAAATTTTTCTTAATGGCATCTTGGGGGTTACATAAAACCTGTATGAAAACAACCAGCATATTTTTGATTTGGTACAAAGTAAATTTCAGTTGAATAAAAAAAGAATTTTTTTTTTACATATGCCTTGACATTTGTCATTGACGTTGGTAACTATGTTTTTACCAACATAATTGTATATTTGCTAACAGATGTTTCTGATTTTTCTGCTTTTATTTTTAAAATATTAGAGAATAATTTGAAAAATTTTCTGCATTATTATGTAATGCCACAAGATTCTTTTCTTGTGTATGTGCATATCTTTCACAAAATATCATGTATATATAGTTGATTATGTGTTGTTTTTTCGTCTTGCCTTAAAGAAACTGCATTTTTTATGTGTCAGAAATTTGGAATATGCAGTTTCTATATACTTTTACAGAATTCAGTTGTTTCAGAAGGTTGTTTTTTGAGACAGAGTTTTTCTTTGTCACCAGACTGGAGTGCAGTGGCATGGTCTTTGTACACTGCAGCCTGTACCTCCCAGGTTCAAGTGATTCTCCTGTCTCAGCCTCCCACATAGCTGCCATTACAGGCATGTATTTGCATGCTCAACTAATTGTGTGTATTTAGTAGAGACTGGGTTTTACTATGCCACCAAGACTGGTCTCAAGTATCTGGCCTTAGGTGATCCACCCACCTCAGCTTCCCAAAGTGCTAGGATTACAGCTGTGAACCACCACATTCAGCCATTTATGTTTCTTCTTAATAACCAGTAATCACTTTTTACAATTGTTTTATGTCTGTGGTACCATAGTCTTTCTGTTCTACAGAACTTACCTTTTGTCTCAGTAGACTTAAATTGTCATTTGAAAGAATACCACTATTTTAGAACCTGATTTAATGAAAGACAGCAACCAGAGTCTGTAAAATACTGTATCATTCAGAAATAAAGGTGTATAAGGCAGAATTTTACTTGTCATTTAACAAAGAAACCAGCAGTTGGCAATTTATTTCAAGTCACTATGTCATATTGGGAAGCAGGAAGATCTGTATTGGGTAAATGTAAGAGACTTTTGTTCTATGTGGCTCTTTGCATTAAATTCACTGGGGGCATTGCACGCAATTTAATTTTTTACAAATGTAATTTGGCCTGTATGTTTTTATTACCTTTAAATGTCTTTGAGAGAAATGGAGCCTGTAAAATTTTACTATGCCATTTTGTCATGTCGTTTCTATACTTTTATAGGTAAGACTTGTATATATTCTGAGCCAAGTAAGCAGAGTAATTTGTTTGAGTAATTTGGTTTTTGTTTTTTATTTCTTTCAGTTGCATCTTCTTATTTTGCCCAAGATTTTTGGCCAAAGCAGGACATAAAAAACCATTTCCAAAAATTGATACTGAGAAGATATAAAAAATGTGAACATGAAAATTTTCAGTTAAGAAAATGTCAAAGCGTAGATGAGTTTAAGGTGCACAAAGAATGTTACAATGGACTTAACCAGGTTTTGACAACTACCCAGAGCAGAATATTTCAATGCAACAAATTTGTCAAAGTCTTTCATAAAGATTCAAATTCAAACAGATGTAATATAAGACAAAGTGGAGAGGAACCTTTGAAATGTAAGGAATGTACAATGTTATTTAACACACTTTCAGACTTAGCTGAACATAAAAGAATTTATACCAGAGAACGACCCTACAAATTTAAAGAATGTGGCAAATCCTATAATGACGCCTCAAACCTTTCTACATATAAAAAAATTTGTAATGGAGAGAAACCCGGCATATATGAAGAATGTGGACAAACCTTTAACCAGTTCTTACACGTTACTACACATATGAGAATTCATACTGGAAAGAAACCCTACAAATGTGAGAAATGTGGCAAAGCTTTTAACCACTCTTCAGTCCTTGCAAGACATAAAAAAATTCATGCTGGAGAGAAAGACTACAAATGTGAAGAATGTGGCAAATCTTTTAAGTGGTCCTCAAACCTTATTACACATAAGAGAATCCATACTGCAGACAAACCCTACAAATGTGAGGAATGTGGCAAAGCTTTTGTCCACTCCTCAAGCCTTACTTATCATAAGAGAAATCATACTGAAGAGAAATGCTACAAATGTGGGGAGTGTGGCAAAACTTTTAGCTGGCACGTGAGCCATTCTAGACATAAGAGAATTTGTTCTGGAGAGAAACGCTACAAATGTGAAGAATGTGGTAAATCTTTTAGGTGGCACTCTGGCTTTAATACACATAAGAAGGTTCATACCGGAGAGAAATTCTACAAATGTGAGGAATGTGGCAAAGCTTTTAACCAGTCCTCAATGCTCACTAGACATAAGAGAATTCATACTGGAGAGAAACCCTACCAATGTGAGGAATGTGGCAAAGCTTTTAACCAATCCTCGATGCTCACTAGACATAAGAGAATTCATACTGGAGAGAAACCCTACAAATGTGAGGAATGTGGCAAAGCTTTTATCCGCTCTTCAGGCCTTGATAGACATAAAAGAATTCATGCTGGAGAGAAAGACTACAAATGTGAAGAATGTGGCAAATCTTTTAGGTGGCACTCCGGCTTTAATACACACAAGAAGATTCATACCGGAGAGAAATCCTACAAATGTGAAGAATGTGGCAAATCTTTTAGGTGGTTCTCAAACCTTACTACACATAAGAGAATCCATACTGGAGGCACACCCTACAAATGTGAGGAATGTGGCAAAGCTTTTAATCGCTCTTCAGGCCTTACTAGACATGAAGGAATTCATGCTGGACAGAAAGACTACAAATGTGAAGAATGTGGCAAATCTTTTAGGTGGCACTCCAGCTTTAATACACATAAGAAGATTCATACTGGAGACAAACCCTACAAATGTGAGGAATGTGGCAAAGCTTTTGTCCACTCCTCAAGCCTTATTTATCATAAGAGAAATCATACTGGAGAGAAACGCTACAAATGTGAGGAGTGTAACAAAGCTTTTGTCCACTCCTCAAGCCTTACTTATCATAAGAGAAATCATACTGGAGACAAACCCTACAAATGTGAGGAGTGTGGTAAAACTTTTAGCTGGTACTCGAGTCATTCTAGACATAAGATAATTTGTTCTGGAGAGAAATGCTACAAATGTGAAGAATGTGGTAAATCTTTTTGGTTCTCCACAGATCTTACTAGGCATAAGAAAATTCATACTGGAGAGAAACCCTACCAATGTTAGGAATGTGACAAAGCTTTTAACCAATCCTCAATGCTCACTAGACATAAGAGAATTCATACTGGAAAGAAACCCTACAGATGTGAAAAATGTGGATAAGCTTTTGACTAATCTTGAAAACTTACTCCACATAAGAGAATTTGTACTGGGGAGAAACTCTACAGGTGTGAAGAATATGGCATAGCCTTTAGCCAGTCCTGAAATCTTACTAGACCTAAGGTAATAATTTATTATGAAGTGAAACCCTAAAAGTGTGTAGAATGTGGTGACGCCTTTAACCAGTCCTCAATTCTTAACAGACATTATATGATTCATACTGGAGAGAAACTCTAGAAACCCTTTGTCTAAAGTTCTGACAATGCTTGTGACAACAGTTCAAACATTTCTAAACATCAAAGAAATTGTGCTGGTGAGAAGTCATAGAAATGTAAATAATGTGAGAAAGCCTTTAAATGATTATCACGATTGTAGGTAAGGTAATTCATACTGGAGAAAACTTCTGCAAGTATAAACAAAGTCACACAACTTTTAAATAATGCTCACACCTTATTGCACAGGAAAACATTTGAGAACAAATGTACAAATTTAATGAAAGTAAAGTGGTAAATATATGCTCATGATCTTACTGTACATGAAAGAACTTATGCTTAATAAAAGCATTAAAAATGCAAGTCTCTCAAAAGATTCTTCAGAAAATATAAACCTTTAAAGTGCTGAGGAGCATTTATTTCAAAGGCAGACATTACAACTATAAAGAGAGTTGTAGTAAGTTGTAACAGATTTTGTTGTGCTTATTTTATGTTAGAGGCAAACCCTGAAGCAATTGCTCAAACTTTGTTTAGCATCAGAGAATTCTGCAAATGTAATACATTTGGGAAAGAAAGATATTAATAGCTGCAGAAACTCCAGAGTGTTCATGCTAAAAAATATTTTTTGCAAACAGAGTAAATGAAAAAAGAATTTTTAATGCAAAATGAAGTCTTGAAATAATCACAATTAGAAATGTATAAGGCACTGACACTTCAGACTTTACACTAAAGCAGTGCTCTATGTCTACAATATAATCTAAAACTAAAGTTGGTAGAAAAATTATTTGTATGCAACTTTAAAACAGTAGGAATTTTTTTTGGAGACATAATTACAAGCATACTTTGGCAAGATTACAGTTGTTTTTTATAAGTAAATAATGTAACTAACACTCTACTTCATACTAGTAATGTTGTAATTAACTCTCAAATTACTTCATGCTAAAACAATGATTATTTTTTAGTTTTTTGCAACTCTGTCACCCAGGCTGTGGTGGAGTGGTGTGACCTGAGCTCACTGCAACCTCCAACTTTCGAGTTTAAGTGATTCTACTGCCTCAGCCTCCCATGTAGCTGGGAGTACAGGCACATAACATCACGCACAGCTATGTTTTATATTTTTAGGGATGGAATGTTGACATGTTGGCCAGGCTGTTCTCAAATTCGTGACTTCAAGTGAATCACCCAGCTCAGCATTTCAATATGCTGGGATTACAGGTATTAGTCACTATGCCAGGCTCATCCTGTTTTTTTATTCCAATTTATACATAAAAACGTGACCAATTGTTGTTATATGAAAGATAAGAGAAATTGTTTTTATTAGGTGAGCATTTATGACGTTTTATGAAAGTAAGGATATTAAAATGTAAGATGGGTGATGAAAATCTAAGTTAAAAGGTTCTTTGTGGTTAACTCACAATATTAAGTGAGGTATGAGGTAAGTGTTAAGAGTAGTATTCTTGTGCATTGCATAAAGAGACAAATATTTTTAGTTTTAGTTAAAATTAAATTGGCCAGGTACAGTGGCTCACATTGGTAATTGCAGTGCTTTGGAAGGCTGATGTGGGGGAATCACTAGGTCTGGAGTTTGAGAGCAGCCTGGCCAGTATATGGTGAAACTCCATCTCTACTAAAAACACAAAAAGTAGCCAGGTGTGTTGGTGCATACCTGTAGTCCCAGCTACTTGGGAGGCTGAGGAAGAAGAATTGCTGGAACCCAGGAAGTGGAGGTTGCAGTGAGCCAAGATTGTGCTGCTGCACTCCAGACTGGGTGACAGAGTGAGACTCCATTTCAGAAAAAAAATTAAAATCAATTGGTAGTACATGATTTTACTAATTGTACTTTCATGAAACAAAATGTAGCATATTTTAAAATTTTCAGATTATGTATGAATTTAATGTCTTCAACATTTCACATGTCAAATATTGTGCATTAAATTAAGTCTTGTTATTACACTTACTTTAACCTCGTCCCCTTTACTCAAGTGTTTTGGTATAAGATGGTAAGATGATGGACTAACATATCTAATTTTTTTTTGCTAATGGCTGAATACTTCAAATATGTTAAGAATATTGTTTCCACAGGTAATAATTTTCTCTCTGTTCTTTTATCTTTAAATTTATTTCTGTTAATTTTTGTGGGTACATAATATTTATGTTATATATACATATTCTGATAGAGATATACAATATATAATAATCACATTTGGTTAGGTGAGATACTCGTCACCTCTAGAACTTATTTGCATTACAACCAATTTCTACAGTTTACTTCTACAGAATCATTTTTGTAACGGTAAAAATTATATACAATTATAAATAAAATTTACACATATCTGAGTCCTGAATAAATACCTTTAAAAATTTATTATACATTTTTCTTTGAATACATCGCCTGTATGCTTGCAAACACACTGACTTCTAGTTTTGATTTGCATAGAGTTAAACGTATACATCTATTATTCTAAATATAAACTGTAGGTGTGAACAAATTATGAATTAATTGTGGCTTTTGTCTCTTGATCTTTGTTGCTTTAAAGTCTATTTTATCAGAGATGAGAATTGCAACTCTTGCTTTCTTTTGCTCTCCATTTGCTTGGTAAATCTTCCTCCATCCTTTTATTTTGAGCCTTTGTGTATCCTTGCATGTGAGATGGGTTTCCTGGATACAGCACACTGATGGGTTTTGGATTTTTATCCAATTTGCCAGTCTGTGTCTTTTGATTGGTGCATTTACTCCATTTACATTTAGGGTTAGTACTGTTATGTGTGAATTTGATACTGCCATTTTGATGCTAGGTGGCTGTTTTGCCCATTAGTTGTTGTAGATTCTTTATTATGTTGATGCTCTTTAGCATTTAGTGTGATTTTGGAATGGCTGGTACTGGTTGTTCCTTTCTATGTGTAGTGCCTCTTTCAGGAGCTCTTGTAAGGCAGGCCTGGTGGTGACAAAATCTCTGAGTACTTGCTTGTTCGCAAAGGATTTTATTTTTCCTTCTCTTATGAAGCTCAGTTTGGCTGGATATGAAATTCTGGGTTGAAAGTTCTTTTCTTTAAGGATGTTGAATATTGGCCCCCACTCTCTTCTGGCTTGTAGAGTTTCTGCCGAGAGATCTGCTGTCAGTCTGATGGGCTTCCCTTTGTGGGTGACTTGACCTTTCTCTCTGGCTGCCCTTAGTATTTTCTCCTTTATTTCAACCTTGTTGAATCTGACGATTATGTGCCTCGGGGTTGCTCTTCTTGCAGAATATCTTTGTGGTGTTCTCTGTATTTCCTCCAATTGAGTGTTGGCCTGTCTTGCTAGGTGGGGGAAATTTTCCTGGATAATGTCCTGAAGAGTATTTTCCAGCTTGGATTCATTCTCTTCGTCACATTCTGGTACGCCTATCAAACGTAGGTTAGGTCTCTTCACATAGTCCCACATTTCTTGGAGACTTTGTTCATTTCTTTTTGCGCTTTTTTCTCTGATCTTGGTTTCTCGTTTTATTTCATTGAGTTGATCTTTGACTTCGGATATTCTTTCTTCTGCTTGGTCAATTTGGCTATTGAAACTTGTGCATGCTTCGCGAAGTTCTCATATTGTGTTTTTCAGCTCCTTTAATTCATTCGTATTCCTGTCTAAGTTATCCATTCTTGTTATCATTTCCTCAAATCAAGGCTCTTAGTTTCTTTGCATTGATTTAAAACATGGTCTTTTAGCTCACAAAAGTTTCTCATTATCCACCTTCTGAAGTCTAATTCTGTCATTTCATCACAGTCATTCTCCATCCAGCTTTGTTCCCTTGCTGGTGAGGAGTTTTGGTCCTTTCTAGGAGGTGAGGTGTTCTGGTTTTGGGTGTTTTTTTCTTTTTTGTGCTGGTTTCTTCCCATCTTTGTGGATTTATCCACCTGTCGTCTGAGTAGTTGCTGACTTTTCGATTGGATCTCTGAGTGGACACCCAGATTGTTGATGATGAAGTATTTTTGTTACTTGGTTTTTCTTCTACCAGTCTAGCCCCTTTACTGTATGACTGCTGAGGTCCACTTCAGGCCCTGCTTGTCTGGGGTGCAACTATAGCAGCTGCGGAACAGTGAGGGATGCTACCAGTTTCTTTTTCTGCTATCTTTGTCCCAGGATGATGCCTGCCAAATGTCAGTCTTTTGGATATAGAGGGGTCAGGGAGCTGCTTCAGGAGACAGTCTGTACTTTTTAGGAGCTCAAGTGCTGAGCTGTGAGCTCTGATGTTCATTCAGGGCTGTTAGGCTGCTATGTTTAATTCTGCTGCAACATAACTCATAAACCCTTTTTTTCTCAGATGCTCTGTCTGGGGGGGGAGTTGGGGCTTTCCTTGTGAGTGCCCACCTCACTGTTCTGCCCAGCTAGGAGGCAGTCTAGTCACTATTTGCCTGCCGAGGCTCCGCCCTGCTTGTGTGAGGCTCGCCCTGTTGCTGCAGGCTCTGCCCTTCTGCTGCAGTCTCTGCCCTGTTGCCACGGGCTACACCCTGCGGCGGAGTCTCTCTGTTGTACCGGGTTGCTTCGGCAATGGCAGGCTGTGTCAGCAATGGACGTGTACCTCAGTAGGGTCTGATTGCCTCAGTAACGGCGGACGCCCCTTTCCCACGGAATTGCGCTATAAGAAAACCTTCTGACCAGGAGCGTTTGGAATCGCCGTTTGTTTGTCGCACTGCGCTACCCCAAATGCTGTGTTCCTGGGATTTCCTGGGCTGGCTCACTAAGTCCCGTTCAGTCTCAAGTTCAGCCCTCTTAGGTCTCAGTTTGCCGGTTCAACAGGGCACCCGTAACAGTGCGCTTTTGTATGGAGCACTGTGGAGTGCCTCTGCGCTCCGGTGCAGGCCGCAGCCGCACCGGCTGCCGGCTACACCAGCCAAGACCTCTGCCTGGCGTCCCGCGTCTCTTTTATACCTGGGAATTTCTCCGTTTTGTGGGCAACTAAGATCCGTCTGGAAATGCGTCCCTGACTCACCCTCTCTGGCATCCAGCGAGAGCTTCTGTTAAATTTAATCTCTTATGATATAGCACAACTTGCATTTCCAGGCAGAATCTTCTGTTTTTACATTTGAATGTTAAAGGTTGCAAAACAATAAAATGACCTCTATGTATTTGGAATAATATTTCCTTTTTCATATTTTTATTTCAATGTTGAGGAATTTCTCTTGTTTTACAAATTTTATTCTAGTGGATGTAAGTTAGTCTAGAGTTTTATTCTTAGACACCTAAGTGTAACCCCAATTATTTTCTCTGGAAAACTTTTGAAAATCATGGCTGCTTTTAGATTAAAATGTTTTTTGTTATTGTTCATGTAAATTAGTTTACTGTGTTTACAGAGTGGTCAGTCATGGGACCGTAAGTAACACTTAACTTTTTAGTGTCTTACTTTCCATTACCATTAGCACGAGAAACCCCAGGTGCTCCAAGCTTCAAATAAAAGACTAAAGTACATTGGCTCCTCCGATGCACTGTGTTGGGTTTGAAACTTGCTGTCAAGCATCAAAGTTCCTATGGTTATGACTGATAAGTGACAGAAACAGCACAAAGATTATTTTTATACTCTTCAGCCAAGTTTACGATAAAGACATAGACATGATTTCAAATATTGTCATCTTTTCATAAGGTTTTAAAAGTATATTATCTAATTTGAAAAATGTATTTTTTTTTGTATAAAACAACATTTTGAAGTGTATACACATGGTCAAATGCTTAGCTCTAGGTCCAGCTAATTGTTGTACTTTTAGTAGAGATGGGGTTTCATTATGTTGGCCAGAATGGTCTCGATCTCTTCACCCTGTGATCTTCCCACCTCTGCTTCCCAATTTGCTGGGATTACAGATGGGAGCTACCGTGCCTGGCCTGTTTTTAAGAATTTTTATTAATTATGTCACTGATATTTTTATTGAGGTTGCATTATATATGCAGATAATTTTGTGTAATACAAATACTTAAAAATAATGGCAGTTCAGTTAAATGTATTTCAAAGTATAGTTACTACAGTTATGGTAGATAAAATTGTCTTTTAAATTTATTTTGAGATAGTTGTTAGTTTCTAAAAATGCTACTTATAGGCCAGGAGTAGTGACTCACATCTGTAATTCCAGCACGTTGGGAGGCCAAGATGGGCAGATCTTGATGTCAGGAATTCAAGAACAGCCTGGCCAATATGGTGAAACCCTGTCTCTAGTAAAAATACAAAAATTAGTGCAGCATGATGGTGCATGCCTATAATCGCAGCTACTTGGGAGGCTGAGGAAAAGAGAATTGCTTGAACCTAAAAGACAGAGGTGGCAGTGAGCCAAGATCATGCCACTGCACTCCAGCCTGTGTGACAGAGCTAGACTTCATCTCAAAAAATAATGATAACAATATTAATAATAAGTAGTTCTAAGAAAACTGGTTAGTCTTATGCAGAAAAGAGTGGACTCCTTATCTTTTCATATAAAAAATATAAGGCAAGATAGATTATTGACTTATCTGTGAGTCTTCAAGCTACAAATTTCTATGAGAACACTTAGAAAATACTCTTCTAAACACTGGCCTCTGTAATGAATTTCTGAATAACATGTTAAAACTGAGTGAACAAAATAAAAATCAAAACTGCATCTAATTAAAGAGCTTCTGCACAGCCAAAGAAACTATTTACAAAGGAAACACTTTGTAAATTATTTCCAAACTTCCTACAAGTGATTAATATATAGAATCTATGCAAAAATTAATTTTAAAAATCAGAAAAATGATATAGATACTTCTCAAAAAGAGTTGTGAATAAATATTGAAGAAATGATTAACATCAAATAATTAGAGAGATGGAAATCAAAATGACAAAGTAATACCATTTTACACCAGGTAGAATGGCTGTTGTTATAAGTCACAAAATAACATGTTGACATTGTGGAGAAATAGGTTTCATTATAAATGTTGATGGGAATGCAATAAAATTTAGCCCCCGTGGAAAGCAGTTTGGTGATTTCTCAAAGAACTGAAAATAGAGTTGTCATGTAACTCATCAGCCTCATCACTGCCAAAGGAGAATAAATTATTTTGCCAGGAAGACAACTGCACTCAGGTGTTTATTGTAGCAAAATTCACAATAGCAAAAAGCAGAATGAAACAGGATGCTTAGAAATCTTAGGTTGGATAAGGAAAGTGAGGCACTTCTACAGCATGCAATACTCTGCAGCCACAGAAAGAATGAAGTCACATCATTTGCACAACATGAGTGGAGCAGAAGGTCGTTGTAAGCAAATTAACAGATCAGTGAAACAAACAGCACATGTAACTTATCTGTGGTAGGTATAAATTGGATACAGATGGAAACAGATGAAAATAAAACTAAATGTCTAAACAGATGGAAGAACAAAGGGAGACAAGAATTGAAAAACTACTTTCAAGTGTGATATACACTACTTTGTTACTCTTTGGTGAAAAGTGGTAGGTGATATCACATTTTCTTAAGAATAAACCATTTTTGAAAATATGAGGCTGTGAAAGTTATTCCAAATTATTGAGTTAAAACATTTTTTTAAAAAAAGCATAAAAGGTTTATGACCGTAGCCCAAGAATGATGAAACAGAGTGGGTTAAGACCACACTGCTGCAGTCATTCCATCACAGTCATTCTCATCAATAAATAATAACAGATCAAAAGGAATTTTTAGAATAATTTTTTGATTGTGTCAAAGTGTTAAATTTTTATTTGCTTCATTTTTTTTCTTTTTTGAGATGGAGTTTTACTTTTGTCACCCAGGCTGGAGTGCAGTGGCACAATTTGGGCTCATTGCAACCTCCACCTTCCGGGTTGGCCAGGCTGGTCTCAAACTTTTGACTTCAAGTTATATACATAGTTTGCTGAACTCTACAGTAATTTGTGGTTTTTCTGTGTACATCAATGTTAGATTTTCTAAAACAAAATGAAGGATTTTTATTTTATTTATTTATTTATTTTTTTAATTTTTTATTGGATTATAGGTTTTGGGGTACATGAGCAGAGCATGCAAGACAGTTGCGTAGGTACACACATGGCAGTGTGCTTTGCTTTTCTTCTCCCCTTCACCCACATTTGGCATTTCTCCCCAGGCTATCCCTCCCCACCTCCCCCTCCCACTGGCCCTCCCCTTTTCCCCCCAATAGACCCCACTGTTTAGTACTCCCCTTTCTGTGTCCATGTGTTCTCATTTTCATCACCCACCTATGAGTGAGAATATGCGGTGTTTCATTTTCTGTTCTTGTGTCAGTTTGCTGAGGATGATGTTTTCCAGATTCATCCATGTCCCTACAAACGACACGAACTCATCATTTCTGATTGCTGCATAATATTCCATGGTGTATATGTGCCACATTTTTCCAATCCAGTCTATTATCAATGGGCATTTGGGTTGATTCCAGGTCTTTGCTATTGTAAACAGTGCTGCAATGAACATTCGTGTACATGTGTCCTTATAGTAGAACGATTTATAGTCTTTTGGATATATACCCAGTAATGGGATTGCTGGGTCAAATGGAATTTCTATTTCTAAGGCTTTGAGGAATCGCCACACTGTCTTCCACAATGGTTGAACTAATTTACACTCCCACCAACAGTGTAAAAGTGTTCCTTTTTCTCCACATCCTCTCCAGCATCTGTTGTCTCCAGATTTTTTAATGATCGCCATTCTAACTGGCGTGAGATGGTATCTCAATGTGGTTTTGATTTGCATCTCTCTGATGACCAGTGACGATGAGCATTTTTTCATATGATTGTTGGCCTCATATATGTCTTCTTTTGTAAAGTATCTGTTGATATCCTTTGCCCACTTTTGAATGGGCCTGTTTTTTTCCTGTAAATCTGCTTGAGTTGTTTGTAAATTCTGGATATCAGCCCTTTGTCAGATGGGTAGACTGCGAAAATTTTTTCCCATTCTGTTGGTTGCCGATCCACTCTAGTGACTGTTTCTTTTGCCGTGCAGAAGCTGTGGAGTTTCATTAGGTCCCATTTGTCTATTTTGGCTTTTGTTGCCAATGCTCTTGGTGTTTTGTTCATGAAGTCCTTGCCTACTCCTATGTCCTGGATAGTTTTGCCTAGATTTCCTTCTAGGGTTTTTATGGTGCCAGGTCTTATGTTTAAGTCTTTAATCCATCTGGAGTTAATTTTAGTGTAAGGTGTCAGGAAGGGGTCCAGTTTCTGCTTTCTGCACATGGCTAGCCAGTTTTCCCAACACCATTTGTTAAACATGGAATCCTTGCCCCATTGCTTGTTTTTGTCAGGTTTATCAAAGATTGTATAGTTGTATGTATGTTGTGTTGCCTCCGGTGCCTCTGTTTTGTTCCATTGGTCTATATCTCTGTTTCGGTACCAGTACCATGCTGTTTTGATTACTGTAGCCTTGTAGTATAGTTTGAAATCAGGTAGTGTGATGCCCCCCGCTGTGTTCTTTTTGCTTAGAATTGACTTGGCTATGCGGGCTCTCTTTTGGTTCCATATGAAGTTCATGGTGGTTTTTTCCAGTTCTGTGAAGAAAGTTGATGGTAGCTTGATGGGGATAGCGTTGATTCTGTAAATTACTTTGGGCAGTATAGCCATTTTCACGATATTAATTCTTCCTAACCATGAACATGGAATGTTTCTCCATCTGTTTGTGTCCTCTCTGATTTCGTTGAGCAGTGGTTTGTAGCTCTCCTTGGAGAGGTCCCTTACGTTCCTTGTGAGTTGTATTCCAAGGTATTTTATTCTTTTTGTAGCAATTGCGAATGGCAGTTCGCTCTTGATTTGGCTTTCTTTAAGTCTGTTATTGGTGTAGACGAATGCTTGTGATTTTTGCACATTGATTTTATATCCTGAGACTTTGCTGAAGTTGTTTATCAGTTTCAGGAGTTTTTGGGCTGAGGCAATGGGGTCTTCTAGGTATACTATCATGTCGTCTGCAAATAGAGACAATTTGGCTTCCACCTTTCCTATTTGAATACCCTTTATTTCTTTTTCTTGCCTGATTGCTCTGGCTAGAACTTCCAGTACTATATTGAATAGGAGGGGTGAGAGAGGGCATCCTTGTCTAGTACCAGATTTCAAAGGGAATGCTTCCAGTTTTTGCCCATTCAGTATGATATTGGCTGTTGGTTTGTCATAAATAGCTTTTATTACTTTGAGATACGTTCCATCGATACCGAGTTTATTGAGGGTTTTTAGCATAAAGGGCTGTTGAATTTTGTCAAATGCCTTCTCTGCGTCAATTGAGATAATCATGTGGTTTTTGTTTTTGGTTCTGTTTATGTGGTGAATTACGTTGATAGACTTGCGTATGTTGAAGCAGCCTTGCATCCCTGGGATGAATCCTACTTGATCATGATGAATAAGTTTTTTGATTTGCTGTTGCAATCGGCTTGCCAATATTTTATTGAAGATTTTTGCATCTATGTTCATCATGGATATTGGCCTGAAGTTTTCTTTTCTCGTTGGGTCTCTGCCGGGTTTTGGTATCAGGATGATGTTGGTCTCATAAAATGATTTGGGAAGGATTCCCTCCTTTTGGATTGTTTGAAATAGTTTTAGAAGGAATGGTACCAGCTCCTCCTTGTGTGTCTGGTAGAATTCGGCTGTGAACACATCTGGACCTGGGCTTTTTTTGTGAGGTAGGCTCTTAATTGCTGCCTCAACTTCAGACCTTGTTATTGGTCTATTCATAGTTTCAGCTTCCTCCTGGTTTAGGCTTGGGAGGACACAGGAGTACAGGAATTTATCCATTTCTTCCAGGTTTACTAGTTTATGTGCATAGAGTTGTTTGTAATATTCTCTGATGATGGTTTGAATTTCTGTGGAATCTGTGGTGATTTCCCCTTTATCATTTTTTATTGTATCTATTTGGTTGTTCTGTCTTTTATTTTTAATCAATCTGGCTAGTGGTCTATTTTGTTGATCTTTTCAAAAAACCAGCTCTTGGATTTATTGATTTTTTGAAGGGTTTTTTGTGTCTCAATCTCCTTCAGCTCAGCTCTGATCTTAGTTATTTCTTGTCTTCTGCTGGGTTTTGAGTTTTTTTGATCTTGCTCCTCTAGCTCTTTCAATTTTGACGATAGGGTGTCAATTTTGGATCTCTCCATTCTCCTCATATGGGCACTTATTGCTATATACTTTCCTCTAGAGACTGCTTTAAATGTGTCCCAGAGGTTCTGGCACGTTGTGTCTTCATTCTCATTGGTTTCGAAGAACTTCTTTATTTCTGCCTTCATTTCGTTGTTTACCCAGTCAACATTCAAGAGCCAGTTGTTCAGTTTCCATGAAGCTGTGCGGTTCTGGGTCAGTTTCTGAATTCTGAGTTCTAACTTGATTGCCCTATGGTCTGAGAGGCTGTTTGTTATGATTTCAGTTGTTTTGCATTTGTTGAGAAGTGCTTTACTTCCAATTATGTGGTCAATTTTAGAGTAGGTGTGATGTGGTGCTGAGAAGAATGTGTATTCTGTGGATTTGGGGTGGAGAGTTCTGTAAATGTCCACCAGGTTTGCTTGCTCCAGGTCTGAGTTCAAGCCCTGTGTATCCTTGTTGATTTTCTGTCTGGTTGATCTGTCCAGTATTGACAGTGGAGTGTTAAAGTCTCCCACTATTATTGTGTGGGAGTCTAAGTCCTTCTGTAAGTCATTAAGAACTTGCCTTATGTATCTGGGTGCTCCTGTGTTGGGTCCATATATGTTTAGGATCGTTAGCTCTTCTTGTTGTATCGATCCGTTTACCATTATGTAATGGCCTTCTTTGTCTCTTTTGATCTTTGTTGCTTTAAAGTCTATTTTATCAGAGATGAGAATTGCAACTCCTGCTTTTTTTTGCTTTCCATTAGCTTGGTAAATCTTCCTCCATCCCTTTATTTTGAGCCTTTGTGTATCCTTGCATGTGAGATGGGTTTCCTGGATACAGCACACTGATGGATTTTGGATTTTTATCCAATTTGCCAGTCTGTGTCTTTTGATTGGTGCATTTAGTTCATTTACATTTAGGGTTAATATTGTTATGTGTGAATTTGATACTGCCATTTTGATTCTAAGTGGCTGTTTTGCCTGTTAGTTGTTGTAGATTCTTCATTATGTTGAAGCTCTTTAGCATTCAGTGTGATTTTGGAATGGCTGGTACTGATTGATCCTTTCTATGTGTAGTGCCTCTTTTAGGAGCTCTTGTAAAGCAGGCCTGGTGGTGACAAAATCTCTGAGTACTTGCTTGTTCTCAAAGGATTTTATTTTTCCTTCACTTCTGAAGCTCAGTTTGGCTGGATATGAAATTCTGGGTTGAAAGTTCTTTTCTTTAAGAATGTTGAATATTGGCCCCCACTCTCTTCTGGCTTGTAGTGTTTCTGCCGAGAGATCTGCTGTGAGTCTGATGGGCTTCCCTTTGTGGGTGACCCGACCTTTCTCTCTGGCTGCCCTTAGTATTCTCTCCTTTATTTCAACCCTGTTGAATCTGACGATTATGTGCCTTGGGGTTGCTCTTCTTGCAGAATATCTTTGTGGTGTTCTCTGT